AATTCTTATTCCGGATTAGTTGGAGACATACACTAGGCTATATCAGCCCCACCAAATATATTTTTCACCAGCCGCCACTGCATTCTGGTAATATGTTTACGTAAGGCCGTCCTACATGCTCGTCCCAATTTTCACTTACCAGTGGTGAGTCTGACATGGTGGAAAAATTGCAAATCTTTTGGAAAGTAAGCTTGAATGATCGATGCAAACAGCAACTTTTAAACAAAGCGTGCATGGGGAGAAATGGACTAGTGCACGCTCACGCATGCCTTTAACAGGCATTTCCTCTCGTGAGCGGGTACAGGGTTGTGCATGTTCTTTTTCTTTTTTTTCCAAGTGAAGAGGGTGGGAACATCCTGCACTATACGACATATAACTTAGCCTAAATCTACAAAGCCTCGTGGTGGTACCTGTCCGTAAGCAAACACGGTTGCGTTGTAGCCCTCCAAGCAGCCCTCGATGAGCTTGTACACACAGGCCTGGTAGATGTGCTGCTGCTCTGAGTCGATATCAAACACGAAGTCGTACGTAAAGGCCTTGTCTTTTCCCAGGAGGACCTGCGGTTCTCCGGGTGTGACCAGCGTGCAGACGTGGCAGCCCTCGATCTTCTCCTTCGCCATCTGAGGACGAATCCTAAAAGATTGGGAGAAGAAAACAACTTAGGTCAGAACAAAGAATGTGGAAACTGTAAAGTAGAAATCTGAAACCTCGATGGGAATGGAGTCCGAAGCATTTTAATACATTTAACAGGTAAACTTTATGATTTAAAGCAGAAGACGTGTATGGTATGATACTGTGAAAAAAGTTGGGTTTTTTGTTGTTTTCATGTCAATACTAGCTCGTAGAGGGATATTGTTACGGGGGAGAGACATGCGGCAAAGGAGCACACGACAAATTCAACCCTAGGTGGGCCATGTTGAGGATTAAGGCCTCCGTACATGGGTTGTGCGTCACCGAAGCATGCCGAAAAAGGGTTATTTCAAAATCAAGGTATTTACTAAAAGAAAATAATATTTTCAAAATTTCTATGCGATAGAAATTTATACCAAAAGCGCACAAAAATGACTAAACTCGTCTGCACCAGCTGGCATGAGTGGAATATGCAAATATCTGATGTATTTTTCCAGACAACGTAAGGACAAAAGTAAGCAGTAAATCTTCCAAAGCTTTTTCTGCAGAGTGGGGGGGGAGATTTGCTGACTTATATGAACCTTTTCATCCATTCATACATCTAATTATACGTGGAGGTAACATCAACAATAAAACCTGCACCTCTTCTTTCATTCCTGACCTGCAATGTTGCATTATTCTCCAAATGGGATCATTATATAACCAAAAAAAAGAGCTGCTTCCAAGTACCCTGTCCTTCGTAGTCATGCTGCGAGAATGCATCCAAAGTTTAAAAAAAATAAAAAATCCTCCACTGTGAAATATATGTGTGAACAGCAGCTGTGGAGAAAGTCTGGACCGAACTCTCTGCCGTTTTCTCTTACAAAAAAAAAAAAAAGCCTCTGGGTTGGTGTGGGAAAATAGCTCGAAGTGGTTCAGCAAAGATTAGATACTGCTTAAAATCACCACAAAAACAAACTGCCTACTGTTAATGGTGGATTTAAATAAATAAAAGAAAGCTTAAAAGGTCTGGGATGTTTTATTGACATCCTCTAAAATTAGTTTAATTTCTATCAATGGTGCAAACCGTGACAGTTCGTCATTCCAGGAATACATTTTGTTTGCAGATGCAATAAATTGCTGCTGAACAATTAAACATTGCTGAGAAGGTTTGGTTAAATTTAGTACAAAGCCTTCTCCAGCCTCTGGATAATGATAGACATTCAGCTTTTGTTTTAGGTTAAAGCTAAATGCTATACAGTCTTTCAATGCTAGGCAGTATTTTCACATTTGGTCAAAATCCACACCTAGAAATTGGCCACACCTGGTTCACAACCCTGGTAGTTAAAAACCGGTGGGATTTGCTCATACAGTGGTATTAATATCATCTATTAACAACACATGCTGGTAGTAAGACATATAAAGGAACACGCTAACAAACATGTACAGAACTATGTGAGCTGCTGGTTTAATTTAATTCAAACCACAACATAACAGAATACGACTTGTGCAACTTTAACTCTGATGATATCTTATGTTTTTTTAACCATATTTGATATGAACTAATTGTAAAAAGACTTTAAAAACCATACTTGGGTGTAACTTAAGACATAACTGAGTCCAATCCTTCCTAAATTGGAAGCAGAGGACGATCTTTTATTTCCGGCTGGATCATCTAAATGAGTGGTCCTCCTAACTGTCAATCATTCTGGTGATGTGTTTACGTAAGGCCGTCCTACGTGCTCGTCTCGTTATTTTTTTCTGCCCATTTGCACTTTCAGGCGTACATCATTTCAGACAGTCATTGAAGCTCACCTTTCTCACTGCGTTTCTTTGAAAATGGCCGAGGGTCGTAAGAGAAAAAGTGTCTAAAAAGTGTATGAGAAAAAAAGAAAGGCCTCAGAAGAGGCAGATATATCCCAGAATGCTTTTCGTGGAGATCTCTCCTCACAAAGTATTTTGATATTTGCAGTCACAGCGGCCCGCTGTCGCCATCTGACAGAGGCGACTATTAACAAAGATGGCGCAGGCACTGTGCAATGGGGAATGATTACGTGTCCGAACGGTAAGTTGACTGAGTTCCCTGTAAAGTCCACGATCTATATAGAGATTGAGGGATTTAGAGGTTACGGCGGACATTCGAACACAGTAAGCTTGTAAGGGCTATGAGAACAGGAACTTTTAAACAGAGCGTGGACGAGGAGAACTGGGCTTTTCTTTTTTTTTCCCAATTAAAAGTGGAAAGTGCAGCTCTTTTAAAAAATTCAACAAAATCCTCCAAACTACCCATAATGCATCCATCCATTTTAACTTCAACATATGACAGTTCTTCCTATAGAAAACACAGTAGCAGAAAAACCTCAAGTTGCGCAATCTTTTATAATTTTTTCTGCATTTCGGGCATTTTTGAATTGATATATTTCTTTATTATCACAGAGTCGGGGACACACTCTTAACTATTTGTTTGGAAAACTAACATCTTATAGATTTTTAAGTTGAACGTTACCCATGACATGAAGCCTCCCTAATAGATGCCGTCTATCAGTGATTTAATGAAGCCCTCACATGTTCTGCAGATTACAGCTAAGTAAAAGCAAGCTTGCTAGAGAAGACAAATATTACAATGTCCAGGCTGTCTTTTTTTTTAGTAACCGCAATATATCATCTGTTTTGTTTAAATAAATATAAAAGAAATTTAAAAAACAAATGTTTAGACTAATATAATGCTAATTCTTTAAAAATAAATCCATATAATTTCCTTTTTTCCTCCCTTATTTTGTCTCTTATAGTTAAGGTTTACCTATAATAAAAATTAGAAACCTCTCATGTTTCCTAGGAAGAAACTTGCACAATCAGTGGCTGATTACCACTTATCGGTTAATATATCATAATATTACACTTTTAATCAACTTGTTTAATCGCTCCAATGGATAATAACACGTCCAATCCACTTTTTCTTTTTTGGAAACTTTAAAGCTCAAAATCTGTTCACTGCAAAGTCTGAAGGCAAAGAGTTAAAAGAATCCTTGCTGTGATTTATTCCATGTTTTGGAGTCAGATCATCAAACCCAAATAAAACAAACACTTTAACTTATTTTGGGATGATAAAACTGAGCAGAAATCTGAAATAAATCAAAAAGATTAAAGGTACTGTCTGCTTAATCTGAGACAAAGTGGAAACTTGGGAGTAGAACCTCTCTGTCTATGAAGAAAGACTGATAAGTCATTAGCAGAGCTGTTGTGAGCTCCTCTCATCAGGACTTTGCGTTCTGTCGGGTTTCCATCCTGACAGGTAGTTCACTGAAGTTAATTACTTTCACCTGACATCCCAGCTGTAAAATAATCCCCGATAAGATGAGGGTGAAGAAAAGCGGTCCTTGCCAAGGAACAGCTTTGAACTCACTGACAAATGACGTCTGAGTACTTGAGTTTAGGAGGATTTTGATTTGCTTGACAAAACAACTGAAGGCTTGGAGGCAAGAGAAAAAGATTTACTGAAGCTAAGGGGGAAAAAAACCCACCCCTTAATAACATGCTTCTGCATCAGTAGTGATTAACTGAAGGAAAATATATCGGGAAAGTTTTACTCTTCCTTCAATGAACTTACTTTGAAGTGAGGGTCAGCTGCATCTGTAGCTTTAGGAGATACAGAAGATAATGAGATAATGAAGCGTCGCATTTTAAGGCCTCTAGTGGATGCAAATAAACCATTCTTAAACATAAAAAAAACACACTAAATAATAACACTCAAGCGAACAGATGCATAGAGCCAGAGGGAGCTGGAGAAATCCACAACAGCTGTCGAAGGATGAGACTAAGCCACAAAAACATCCACATAGGAACTTCTGTAAATTCTCTAAATATTCAGTAAAAAAAAAGAAAAAATCAACAGTGCTATCTTCAGTTCACACATGGCTCCTCTAAAGCATGCATGAAGAACCACACCCACCACTGACACACACGTTTAATCCCTTCACCACAAGTTTTTACGGTGCTGCAGAAACACACACACACACACACACACACACACACACACACACCAAGGGCACTTCTCTGGCCCTCCTTCCGGCACAGAGGCAGGAGATACTTCCAGCAGGGGATTAAATACATTTGAATAGAGCGATTCAGCAGCCGTACGTCGACCCGGGCCAACCTTATTAAAAAGAGACGGACTCTGAAAGCAGCTAGCAGACAGATGAGTTCAGTTTACTCCTGGATGTGACCTTGACACAGAGGTTAATGGATCTAAAAGCGCTGTTTAAGCCAATTATAAACATAAAGTGCATATGGAGAAAGAGCTGCACTCTGGTTTTATACAAAAGACCTGACTGCAGCAGGATTCACTGGGTCTGAGTGGTGACAAACTGAATATAAAGGGTTTAAATACTACTATGTGGAAAATCATGAAACCTTCTTTAGTTTTTTTTTTCACATTTCAACCACAAACCTCAATATCTTTGATTTATATTTTGTTCAATAAACCAGCAGAAACTAGCACACACACATACAAAAGGAAAAAAAGTATACATGGCTAAAATTTCTCTTTGAAGGTCATACCTATAACTTATTTATCACAGCAAACTTTGTTTGGGAATAATACCTCCACAGAACATCTAGTGTGAATAAAAAGCATCATTTTAAAAAAAATATATGTATCATATAAATATTGGCATTTTAAACCTTGCCCAGGGACTACAGTTGAAAATTAGCTACTTAGCTAACACTGGCTCATTTACAGAAATGTTTATTAATGTGCACTGTCTCTGTTCAAATAAACACATAAATAATAAAAAATTTGCTTCGCAAATTTTGACGCATCCAAAGTAGAGGGTCGACTTGGAAGGATTCTGCACCGATAGTAGCTGGTAGAGCCGACGAATGACGAATGGCTTCTTTTCTGTGTTCTCTCTGATTAAAGCCCAAAAAAACAAACTAAGCAAAACGAGGGTAAACATCTGTCAAGCTTTAGAGCATAAGAGCCGACTTAAGGAAGCACAGTAGCTCAGAAGCCACACGCAGGTTTG